TGACAAAAATATTCACCAAAATTAGAGAATTAAAGATATCATTACAAAATGAACAAATCTGAGAGAGGTCCACATGTAGTACCTATATATGTAATATCAAAGCAATTGCACTTGTGGTTTTTAACAAGAAGTCGAAAATATCAGTTTTTACCAAAAATGACAAAAATATTCACCAAAATTAGAGAATTAAAGATATCATTACAAAATGAACAAATCTGAGAGAGGTCCACATGTAGTACCTATATATGTAATATCAAAGCAATTGCACTTGCGGTTTTTAACAAGAAGTCGAAAATATCAGTTTTTACCAAAAATGACAAAAATATTCACCAAAATTAGAGAATTGAAGATATCATCACGAAATGAACAAATCTGAGAGAGGTCCACATGTAGTACCTATATATGTAATATCAAAGCAATTCCACTTGCGGTTTTTAACAAGAAGTCGAAAATATCAGTTTTTACCAAAAATGACAAAAATATTCACCAAAATTAGAGAATTAAAGATATCAACATGAAATGAACAAACCTAAGAGAGGTCTACCCAAGGTACATATACACCAAGTATCAAAGCATTTAGGCTTGTAGTTTTCAAGAAGAAGTCGAAAAAGTAAAACATTGACACGGACGACGACGACGGACGACGGAGACGGACAATCACTCATATGATAAGCTCCGCTCGACAAAGTCGACAGCGGAGCTAAAAAGTAAAACATTGACACGGACGACGACGGACAATCACTCATATTATAAGCTCCGCTCGACAAAGTCGACAGCGAAGCTAAAAATGAACAATTGGTATAGTATCAAAGCAATCAACCTTGCTGTTTTCAATAAGAATTCGAAAATATCACTTTTTACCAAAAAAGACAAAAATAATCATGAAAATTAGAGAATTGAAAATATCATCATGAAATGAACAAATCTGAGAGAGGTCCACATGTAGTACCTATATATGTAATACCAAAGCAATCGGATATGCGGTTTTTAACAAGAAGTTGAAAATATCACTTTTTACCAAAAATTACAAAAATATTCACCAAAATTAGAGAAATGAAGATATCATCATGAAATGAACAAATCTGAGAGAGGTCTACATGTAGTACCTATATATGTAATATCAAAGCAATTGGACTTTTGGTTTTTAACAAGAAGTCGAAAAATATCACTTTTACCTAAAATGACAAAAATATTCACCAAAATTAGAGAATTGAAGATATCATCATGAAATGAACAAATCTGAGAGAGGTTTACATGTAGTACCTATATATGTAATATCAAAGCAATTGGACCTTTGGTTTTTAACAAGAAGTCGAAAAATATCACTTTTACCTAAAATGACAAAAATATTCACCAAAATTATAGAGAATTGAAGATATCATCATGAAATGAACAAATCTAAGAGAGGTCTACCCAAGGTACATATACACCAAGTATCAGCATTCACACTTGTAGTTTTTAGAGAAGTAAAAAAAGTAAAAAGTTAGCGCGGCGAACGACTACAGACGGCGGACACAGACGCCAATGGACAATCACTGATATGATAAGCTC